TAACCAGTAAGGACTGCAGCACTGAGGAACACTATCAGAGATACCAACCCACCTAAAAGGGCTCAGAGCAGCAGAACTGCCTGGAAGAGGCAAAGATTCAAAGAGCTACTTGGATGAAACGTTTTCTGACCTGTGCTGCCTGCAAAGCATTCAAGGGCTCTGGGTTTTCGGGTTCCATGAGCTGCCAACCATGCTGGGATGGGCTTCAGGGATGCATCTCTGAGCTATTTCTGCTCCTGTATTAACTGCTCACTCATGCTCCTGTAAGCAACCCCAACAAAACCCATTGGTTTACAAAGCTGAACTTGGGTGGTGTCCGTTCTTTGATCTGTTACAGGCATCCTATCTGTGGTGTGTAAATGAATATTTTTATCCTCCCTGGTTCCACAGCAGTTTAGTCCCAGATAAACACAAAGAGGCTTATATTAATTATAAACCGTTTGACCTATTGCTTAGACTTATTACTAACTAGCTCTTACAACTTAAATTAACCCATAATTCTTATCTATGTTTAGTCATGTGGCTTGGTACCTTTTCTCAGTAAGGCATTCTCATTTTGCTTCCTCTGAGTCTGGCTTGCAACTGCATCTCTGCCTTTCTTCCTCCCAGAATTCTCCTAGTCTGGTCATTCCACCTACACTTCCTGCCTGGCTACCGTCCAATCAATGTCTTATTAAAATATTACAAGTGACAAATCTTTACAGTGCACAAGAGCATCATCCCACAGCAGGGGTGAATAGATGTTTGTTCAGGTTGTCCTGAGAATAGTGTCATACAGTACTTCTCTACTGTGCTAAGGTATCCAGCCTCTACAAGCCTGCCACTAATTCAGTGGGGAACCCTCTGAACCTGTTCTGGCTCCAAGTGCTGCCATACCATCATTCTTATCTAAAAGAAATTATTTTGTATAAAGTTTTAACAGTATACTACTACATAATGATGTAGCATGACTTTTCTATTTGGTCTTTAAAGCCCCCATTCTCTCCCACTCAAAACATCTGCTCTCTTATAATTAATAAACTTGTTAAAAATATTCAAATCAAATTCAAAAAGCAGAAATTCCCCTTGCATTTTCCTAAGGGAGATTACACTCGTGGAGTCCAAGATTAAGCCAAACTAAGCTATACTGGGAAATAAGAATCAGAAGAGTGGCTGCCGTGGAGGAGGGAGATGGAATAGAGTCATGAAGAATTTTACAGGGATGATGGACTGATAGCAATGGTTTATACAGAGATTGATAGAAATCTGGGTTAGATAGGTTAATGCTGACTGCAAACTCAAGGAATATATGCATAAGATTTGTGCATTTTATGGTATGTAAATTTTATATAAAACAGTTATATATTGGGTTCAAAGTATAATATGAATGAGAAACATATTTTGATATATATTTAAATAGGTAGATGAATGAAAAGAGATAACAGATCACATGATAAAAACGGGCATTGTAAAATGTCAGTGATAGAGCATAGGTGGTGGGTAGATGAGTGTTGATTGTCTTGAATTTTAAATAGTTGGATAAAATACAGAGTGAAAGGGAACCCAATACAAAGATCTCCTCACTCAATTGCTTCTTTTCCTGTTGTAGAATTCATCTTCAGCACCTAGAAATCATTCTTGTTGTTCCCCCTCCCATCGATTTTAATAGCCTTCATCTAGTTGTGAATCCTTCCCAGGATAAAAGTTTTTAATCATTTTATCCCTGTTCTCTAGTACAGTTAAGTTTGAAATGCTAATTCTCGTTTTCCAGGGTCTCACCATTCAAACCGCCCTCATGTTGAGTCAATGACCCGAGTCCTACCGGCCATTTCCATGAAGAAGAAAAGCAGTTTCTTAAGAAATAATTTTGGTGTAACTTAAACAAGATAAATGTCTTCAGACATTGTCTCTAGAAGGGTTCTAGTGGAGTACTGAATTAGAGCTATAATGCCTCATTAATATAAAATTTTTCAGACTCTGAATCCAGCTCCACTGCCTTTTACTGGGCATGCTAGTGACTTGAAACCTTCGGGTCCTCTCAGTGCATTCATACCATCAGCGCCCAGAAAGTATTCCACAGTGTGTGTTAAAATGGCCAGGTCTCACTTGGCAGAAATCTTCCATTATTCTTTTTTCCATTTTCTTGTAGGCCCATCTTGTAACCAATTTAACTTGGCAGATTCACCAGTGTGTAACTGCTTATGATTAGATGTCTCATGGGTGCTTCATTAATGTCTTTTCCTGATGGATGTACAGTGAACCATTAGTAACATTTACCTTAAACTTTTTCTGAGAATGTAATGGTAGCTAAGACACAGTATTCTTGAGCTTCCATTATCTGTCTATATGTTGGATTAGGACATGATTTTCATGGAGAAGAATGTAGCTGTCTGAAAGTTTTCCCCGTGGGGATGTGGGGTCATCCCTTCTGAGGCTCCTCCATCCTGAGGAGTGTTCCAGCTCTGCACTTTGGCTGTCAGAGCCAAGAGTCTTTTCAGATCTCAATGTTTCCAAATCACAAGGTAGCCAATTCTGCATTAAAAACATGAAATAGTTTAAAAATATGCAGTCTATCAGTTTTAAACTATCTCCAGAAGATACTAGATCACCAGGGAGGTAGATAAGCTTCCCAGTAAATTACAAATTGACCCTCTGCCATTAGTTTGTCCAACGTCTCTGTCAGAAAAGCTCAAGTCCACAGCCTTAGCTGTTGTCTTATAGCTACAAGTTTTGGAATGCACCCTTGTAGAAGTGGGGAGCCGCTTGTTTGTCCTGGCCGCCCAGCTAGCTTAGCCCCGTAATAACCACACAGAAATTGTATTAATTAAATCACTGCTTGGCCCATTAGCTCTAACTTATTATTGGCTAACTCTTACATCTTAGTTTAACCCATTTCAATTAATCTGTGTATTGCCACGTGGCAGTGGCTTACCAGCTATGTTTTGGCAGCAAGTCTTACTCTGGTGGCAGATCCATGGTGTCTCCTGACTCTGCCCTTCATTCTCCCAGCATTCAGTTCTGTCTTCCCTGCCTACCTAAGTTCTGCCCTATCAACAGACCAAGGCAGTTTCTTTATTCACAGCACACAGAGGGAACTCCTGCATCACACCCTTAAATTTCCCTGACTCAGCAGCTGTATCAGAGAAAAAAAAAACTGCGCAGTTTTAAAACTCAGTTTCCTGGCCTGTGCCGCCAGCATAAACTCTGGCTATAAAGCATTTCAATGGCTTTTATGGGACTAGATGTTTGTGTTCCTGCTCAGGATCGGGAACAAAGTACTCTGAGACCATGCCTATGCTCCCCGCCTGGACAGACAGCAGGATCAGGCTTAGGCAGTCAGGAGAGCATGGCAGATTTCTACTGCCATACACAGAGATGTTTCCAGGCTATGGCGTACAGCTCAGGGGTGTCCCATAGTGCCAGAGGGCATCACCAAAGTCAAAACTGGGTCTACCTGTTCTTTAAATCCCATGACTTTGACCACCAGGATAGCTGCTGCGTAATTTCCCACCACACTACCATCCAGTCTTTAGTACCTTGGCTGTATCTCTCAGCCTTGCTTTTTAAATCATTTATTGATTTCTTCAACTATTTACTTTTAAAGACACTTTGTATTAATGAATTTTTTTTAATGAACTGCCTAGAACCCTTTTGGATTTATATTTTATTGATGTATAAAGGGGAAAAACCTCTTACTTAACATTAGCAATTTAAAAATATTCTCAGGTTTCTGTTCTGGTACACATACTGTTTTTGAAATAACTAAGGCAAGCTACCTATCTTAAATGGCCTCATTGCTGGAACCATGTTTCTGCTGTCCTGCTCTCCTAATAGCCGGAAGTGGTATGACATGCTGGAACTTGGTGCTTGGGAAGCTGAGGTACAGTTGTGAGTTTGAGGCAAATGTGATGGTCGGTGTTGTGATGGTCCCTATTGGCTGTCATCTTGACAGGATCTGGAACCACCCAGACATAAGACTCCAGCACATTTGAGGGACTATATAAATGCAGTCAGCTTCTGGACAGCCTTCTGAGGGATTATCTAGATGAGGTGAGTTTCTGGGCAGGCTTCTAAGGGGCTACCTAGATGAGTAAGCCTCTGGGCAGGCCTGTGAGGGACTACCTAGATAAGGTGAGCAAGTGATATGACTGGGTGGACAGAGGAATGTAAGGTGGGGGTGAAGATAGGAGCTCCGTTTCTTTTTGGTCTGAAGATTTCATAGAGGTAAGAACTCTGTAGCTGACTGCTCTGCTTCTCTAATCTTTCAGCTTCCATCCCCTAATATCTGACTCCAGGTTTTTTTTTTCTTAGATTGGGACAGGTGTGTGTCTGTGTGTGTGTATGCGTGTGTTTGCTTGTTTTTAATATTACATTTAGCTCTTTCAACTAGGATAATTCCCTCTTAGTTATCTAAGTATTCCATAGGAACAGATCCCGACTATAAAATGACAGATTTACCTATTTTTTTTTCTGTATACGTTAAACTACTAGGTTACCCAGAATCTCTTATCACTACACATTACCTTTTTGCATGGATTCATCCTAGTACTCAGAACAAGGCCAAACTTTGCAGTTTAGCTGTTTGGAACTTTCTAGAACTAGCATCTTTTAAACCCACCAGTTTTGATCTATGATCTACGGTTGGTGGTACCTCTAAAAAATGTGAAATCAATAGATGTGGAGGGCCAAATGTAATACAGTTTTCTTATATTTTCTTCTGTCAGGAATTCAGTTGAATTTGAGAGTACCAGCGAGCCTGGCACATAAGGTTTTACGTGCGATCAGACTGAACATCTGTGAGTGGGCGCATCCCCTGAGGAGGGAAAGTGCTAATGACAGCAACAGGCAGGGTGAATTCCAGACAGAGCAGTCGGGCTCTGCCTCAGTATTTTCTCACGTCCTTCACATTTATAAGCTTTTCTTACGAAGCAGATAAATTGATCACTGTAATTCAGGTTCCAACTTTCATTTATCAACAACATACACGTGTCAACCTAAAATGCCAGATTAACGTGAGGTGACAAGTGTCCTAGCGAAGACAGAGATGTTTAACCATGACACTCCAGAGGACATTTTTATTAGATGTTGTCTAAGTGGGACTCAAGAGGTCCAAACAGAGAACACTGATGAAGCCGGTCAAGAGTACGGAATCGCAGAGATCTTATGATGTCATCTCTGGCATCCTCACCAGGGTCTCCTCACACGTTCACACCGTGTGTCCCTTGGGCATTTGGAACCTTCCACCCTGAGATTAAGAGGGAGGTGATCCAGTGTGACCCGGAGCTGTGCTTGCTCTGAGAGAGGCGAGGTAAGGAGGAAGTCCTGTCATTTTACCTCTGTTTCCAGAGAAACAAAAGGAGCTGCAGCTTCGTGTGGTTCTGGGCCTAGCGGGCCACACTTCCTCCTATGCCCAGCGCTTTCGTCAGGGCAAGTCCTGTCTGCCTGCGTGCATTTCTCACACCGCTGAGGCCACTGCAGGACCCACTGCCTGTCAAAACCACACCAGTCACCTCGGGAGTCAGACATTTATTACTAAATTTAGTTTTACTCTAATTTCTGTTCTTCGTAATGAAAATTATGCAGAATGCATTGTTTTTATGACCTTGAATTTTTGTGTTGTAGTAAAATTCAATACTTGAATTTAACGTTATTTAATGAATGTATAAACATTACAATGAACATCACAGGGATTTGAAGAAGTGATTCCCAAGACAGACAGTGTCGACAGTGATCTAATCACAGGGCTGAGCAAGATCACTGGGCACTCTAGAGAACAGAGCCTCTTAAGAGTCAGGTGAACGGCATGATCTGGGGGAGGGAGGTTCAGTCCAATGGCAGAGGGCTTGCCTGGCAAGCCAGAGGCCCAGCGTTGATCACTATTGGGTTAGAGAAACAGAAGTTAACTTTCCATTTTCAAGAACCAACGAGCCATCATCCATGAGGTCTTGCAGCTGAATAACAGGAAACTGTACTTGTTTTTCAAACCATTTTGCAACTGTCAAAAGTTGCTGGTCACAAAATGCTCGTCCGATGAACTGCAGTCCTATTGGTAACCCTTGGTTTGAGAGGGCCACAGGGACACTCACTGCTGGTAAGCCTGAGGAAGAGAAAGAAGTCATCAACCGGTGAATCCTCTTTCCCTGTGCTTGTAGATAAAGACAGAATAAGGCTTAAACTATGATAGCTAGCTGCGGTGGCCCTTGCCTTGCCTTTAATCCCAGCACTCAGGAGGCAGAGGCATGTGTATCTGTGAGTTTGAGGCCAGCCTTGTTTATATAGTGAGTTCTAGGACAGACAGGTCTATGCAGATAAACCCCCTTCTCAAAAAAAAAAAAAAAAGCTGGGTGGTGGTAGCGATCTCTTTTAATCCCAGCACTTGGGAGGCAGGGGCAGGTGGATCTCTGTGAATTTGAGACCGTCCTGGTCTACAGAGTGAGTTCCACCTCTCCACCAATATCTGCCTCCAAGTTCCTGTCCTGCTTGAATTCCTGTTCTGAATTCCTCTGATGATGAACTGGGATGTGGAAGAGTAAGTCACTTTCCTCCCAGAGTTGTTTCAGTCATATTTCATTGCAGCAATGGAAACCCAAAATAAGACACACAAATTGCTTAGGGAATGATCTGGCAGCTATCTTTTCGTTTTCTTTTGGTTTGTGTGTGTGCACATGGATACATCAAGAAGACCTTGGCGCTGGTCCTTGCCTTCCATTGGATCTGAGTCGAGGGCTCTCGCTCACTACTGTGTATAAAAGTTACCTGGCCAGCTGACTTCCAGGAAGTCTCCTCCTGTCTCTACCTCCCATCCTGCTATGGGACCACTGGGACTACAGATACACGCTATTCCATCTGGCTTCATGTTGGTGATGGGGATTTCAACTCTGGTCTCTGGTCCCTGCTTATGTGGCAAGTGCTTTACCCCTGGGCCTCGTCCCCAGCCCTATGAGCTATCTTCCTAAGTAAACAACTTAGCTTCCTAAATTGTAAACAGCGATTGTAACTGCTTCCTGATGTAAGAAGTATGTGGTTTTCTGCTAAAAAATGTCTATTTAACCCAATTATAAAAATACCACATACTGCTTAAAAATGTGCATGTACAACACATACACATCCCCCTCAAGTGTTCTAGAAGGAAACAATCCTGCTAGAGCCTGAATTGAAGACCTGGGAGTCTGTCTAAACTTTGAAAAAAACCAAACCATCCTTAAGGAATCCTCACCTGCCATGTTTACAGCCTGTGTAAAAATATCATCCTGGGCACTCCGCGTCCTGTTGTCCTCTTTGATGAACTCCAAGTATGGCACTGCCTCAGTCAGGGTGGTGGGAGTTAGCAGGACATCCACACCAGAATCAAAAACATTCACGAAGTCCCTTAAAATGAGGCGCCTCACTTTCTGCGCTTTGACGAAATAATTCTCATAATTTCTGTGGAAAAATACAAAGCTATCTTAAAGACTTTTTTCTGTTTCTGTTTTGTTTTGTTCTCTTACATTAGACATATTAATGAGCCACTGGATCCACAGCTGTCCCATCAGGGACCACTAAGACTATTACTATTACATATTTACTTTGTGGGGAGGGAACAAGGAAGGAATGGGCAGAGGGCTGAGGACAAGCAGCCAGAGTCACTTCTCTCCTGCCACAGTGTGGATCTCAGGAATCAAACTCGAGTCATCAATCAGCCTAAAGTGCCTTTACTTACTGAGGCATCTTGCTAGCCAAGTGCTATTTTATTTTTTGAGACAGGGTCTTATTATATAGTATGGCTGGTCTAGAACTCACTATGTAGAGATCCTAGCTAGTGCTGGAATAAAGAGCTGGTGGGAAGCAGGTTCCATCATGGAAAGCACAGTGTTGCAGTTTGGTATTTTATGAATACCAGGAAGGCAGAGATAATTAAATGAAGGATGCTCAAGCACTATTAAAAGATTCCCTAGTAATAAGATTACAGGCATGCACTACCCAATATTGATGTTGGGCATCAAACCTGGGGCCTTAGACATCTGGGCAAGGACCCTGCTAGCTGAGTCAGTATATTTCTGGATATGAAAATTTTAAGGTTTCAAGAGTAGCAAAAATTCTTAAAGCAATTGTCTTACTCTTTTAATAAGAAAAAGTTTCCTGAGAGAATTCTTCCTCTCACCACGTCATTGAACCCTTCTTGTCTGGTTGCAGCATACATGGCTTCAGTGGACACATCAATGCCAGACCTGTGACCTAAGAACAAGAAGTAAACATTACTAGAAAAAGAATTAAAAGTTTGCCTCTAGTATGGATCTTAGAGAACTTTCCTGTCCAATTTCCTTTTCTTTATTTGCGTTGTGACTGACTGACCAGTTAATTATGGGACTTAACCATGGAGAGAAAAGGGCCATAAAAAGACTCTATCATCCATCCATCCATGTGCCCATCTATTCATCCACGCATCGATTAATCATCCATCCATGTATCCATCCATCCAACCATCCATTCATGCACCCATCATCTATCCATCGAACCACCTACCCACCCACCCATCCATCATCTATCCATCGAACCACCTACCCACCCACCCATCCATCTGCCCATCCATCCATCCATCCATCCATCCATCCATCCATCCATCATCTATTCACCCACCCATCCATCACCTATTCACCCACCCCCCCATCTATTCACCCACCCATCCATCCATTCATGCAAACTTTGATTGAGTTCACCTTGTAAGACATCAGATGAGATAGGCACACAAAGATAATCCCTTCAAGAATTTCCCTTCAGTCCCAAGAACAAAATGTAAGAAAGAACTGTGCTGAATATAAGTTCAATATTAAAATAATAAAAGGACAAAAAAATGATTTACTGATTTGCCTTCCTGAATCATTATAATAACCAGTATGTGAACCTTTCAAATGTCTGAGGTATCTTAACCACAAAGCAGCCAGCTCACCATATTGTAGCCCATCAAATCTTGCCATATTCGATGCCACTTCTGATGTGCACAGCACATGGTAGCAGACTATTGAGTAGCAGGTGTGTGGCAGGGAGACTTCAATCACTTTGGCACCCTCAGACTCAAAGAGGTCAGCAGCTTGGGACCAGAGAGACCGTATCTCACTCGACAGCTCTGGTACCAGATATTCCTTAGAGGAAAAACAAAACCAGGAAAGTCTATATAGACTCATAAATATCTGTATACGAAAATCGTTGGCAATCCACTACACTGAGACACTGCTAGTACCGCTGGTAGGTACCTAGAAAGGCTAGACTAGAAATGCTGATGAGCTGTGAGCACAGCACAGTACTGTAGCTGGGCATAGCAGTATAAAGCTGGGTGATTTGGTCGGGACTCGTATCTGTTAATTGTTTACTACATCTCAAATACTCTGCAGATATTTTTTAGAGGTTCTTTCAGTTTATGCTTTTTACACCTCATTACATAGGTATCATCATTCTTCATTTTATGGATGACAAGTATCGAGAATAGGAAAGTGAAGTAGCACTCCATCATGCCTACATGGGATCTAGGACTCAATGAGATTCACTTCTAAAGCTTTGGTCTATCCTGTCTTTTGTTTGTTTCTTTTTGTTTTGTTTTCCAAGACAAGGTTTTGCTGTAGTTTTGGAGCCTGTCCTGGAACTAGCTCTTGTAGACCAGGCTGGCCTCAAACTCACAGAGATCTATCTGCCTGTCTCTGCCTCCCGAGTGCTGGGATTAAAGGTGTGTGCCACCACCGTCCAGCTAATCTATCCTATCTTTTAAAGAAAGTACAGATCTTTAATAAAAGTCTTTTTAAAGTAGCAATTCTTTACAGTAGGGTGTCACCTGATAATGTCTGTGGATGTTTTGACTGTAGAGTTGTAGTGGTGAGGAATTTTATGGGACAGGGGTGGAGGCCAGGGATGCAAAAGATGATTTTCTACCACAGAACCTTCCAGAATAAAATATCAGTGATGCCAAAATTAAGAAGCCTCATTACTCGTTATTCCAAGTTGTTTTTCTAAAATGTATTTTAAAAATGTAGTAAATATTAATATATTGTCAGGTATATAATTGGCTAAGTTGGTACACACCTAGATTTCAGCACTTGAGAGAGAGAAGCAGGAGGGTCACTGAGGTGGAAGTCAGTCTGGGCTCAGCAGTTTGGAGCTCTTATTTCACTTGAGTTTAGTTGCCAGCCACATCTGTAACTCCAGCCCCAGGGATCTGATGTCTCTGGCCTTGTGGGCACTTGTACTATGTATATATATACACATGCTGATATACACACACACCTACATATAACTTAAAATAATAAAAGGTGTTGGAGAGATGGCTCAGCAGTGAAGAGCACTGAATGTCCTTCCAAAGGACACGAGTTCTACTCCCTTGTCTCCCTTGTCAGACAGCTCAAACCAACTGTAACTTCACCTCCAGGGCATCTGATGCCCTCTTATATCCTCCACAGGCACTAGGCCCACACACGGTACCAAACAAACATACAGGTAAAAAAATATCCATACATATATATAGCTTTTTAAAAAATAAATTAAAATTTAGATAAAAACTGACTAAACATAATCCCAGCACTTGGGAGGCAGAGGCAGGTGGATCTCTGTGAGTTCGAGACCAGCCTGGTCTACAAGAGCTAGTTCCAGGACAGGCTCCAAAACCACAGAGAAATCCTGTCTCGAAAAACCAAAAAAACAAACAAACAAACAAACAAAAAACCTGACAAAACATGCATACACAGACACAGACAACAGACGCATAGACACACACACACAGGTCTGTTTTTTAACTTTAAAAGTGTCAGTAATTTATTTCTTACATGTATAGATTATTTCTATTGTAATTGTATAGTCTAAATGGCAATAATAAAAATAAATGCAATAATATTTAATGAGACCTTACTAGAAAAGGTATGCCTATGTCTTTTACATCTGGGATCAGCAAACTGTAACTACAAGCAAGATGTAATAGTCATCCACTTTTAAAGAAATTTTATTGGTACACAGACATATTTTTTCATTTACATATCGCCTATGGCAGTCTTCACTTAAACAGCAGAGTTAAAAATCCCAGATTTAGGACCTACAAAGCCCCAAACAATATCACGTTCTTTCCAAGGAAAGTTTACAAGCTCTTTCTTTATAGGATAATTAAATTTAATCCCACAACTCTCAGGTCTGTATTTCTGTTGTCCTCTTCCACAAAGGGAGAAACTGGACTTAGGAAGAGATGTCACATAGCCAATAAAAGAGGGTACAGGGGTTCAAAACCAACCAGTCTCGCTCCTTAGTTGGTACTTTGCATTTGACTAGCCAGCTTTTCTGAAAAGCAATGAAAAGATGTTACCTTTGGAATTCCTATGCAGAGTCTGCTCACATCCACCTCACTGGGAATCCTGGATAGTTTAATAGGATCTTGTACTGTGGTGGAATCTTTGGGGTCATGTCCAGCCAGTATACCTGCAAGACGATATTCTTATGTGTGGCCAACATATCGTTTTACAGTGAGACTTTTGAATAATACGTAACCACAGAAATACCTAACACGATAGCTGTATCATCCACACATCTGGTGAAGATTCCTGGCACATCCATCGAGTTCACCAGGGGAATGAGGCCGTGACGGGAAACTAAGCCATAACTTGGCTTGAAACCAACAAGCCCACAGTGGGCAGCAGGGTTTCTGGTGGACCCTCCAGTATCTGATCCTAGAGCCCTGGGATTCAAAGAGAATTCTTTTTAGAGGAATGACACTCTCGAATTGCATTTGAAATCTACTATCTAAAAGTGTGCTTTCCCTAATTACATAGAGTAACCCATACTCATCTCAAAGGACTCATATGGTATAGAAAAGCACAAAGACCCCATAACAAACACAGTTAACATTTTGGCAGATCCAACCCTTCCTCTTGCCTCTGCTTCCTGAGAGCTGGAATTATGGGCATACACCACTATGCTTGGCCTTTCTTTTTAAAAAACTGTGTTTTTTTTTTCCTTTTTTGGAGAACATTTTGTAATTTTAAGTTTCCATCCTGATTTTGTTTGTTTATAATGACCTTTCGCTGCCATTAAAATTGTAAAAGTTGACCATATGTACAAATATTTTAAAATATGTCAAGTAACAATAGGCAGTATCTTTCACAAGCTGAACACTCTTTGCAGAAACCTGGACCCCAAGACTTTGCTCTCCCATTGAGAGTCATGGCTAGAGATGTATTCTAATTTGCACAGTGTTGTTTTCATCTGGAATGGTAACTTCTGCACACCTCTGTTGATAAACACCTTAACACATAAATTTCTGCACATGTTTGACGATTGCTTTAAGTGGCTGGCTTCTAAGAAAGAGGGTTAGTGAACACAAGGGCCTGTTTGCTGTTATAAATTCTTAACCTATATAATCAAATTACTTGTTGCAGATCAGATCAATTCATATATTTACTTCTAGTGAACTGGTTTTTAACATTTCAGTATCATTACTGTACTCAGTTTTTAAAATTTTGGTTAATCTGATTTAAAAAAATACTTCTTTTTTCCTTTTTTTGGATTTTCGAGAGCTTTTGGTTCCTGTCCTGGAACTAGCTCTTCTAGACTGGCCTCGAACTCACAAAGATCCGCCTGCCTCTGCCTCCCGAGTGCTGGGATTAAAGGCGTGCGCCACCAATGCCCGGCAAAAAATACTTCTTAAATATTCATTTTGAAAAACTTTTCATTATCCAACAATGTAAATGCTCATTTCATAGACCAGTCACTTAGAGAATATATTCTGTTCTTTTTTTTTTAAAAAAAAAGTAACATGGTTTAAGACAATATATTATGTAGTAGAAGAAACTAATTAAAACAAAAAACGTAACCTGAAGGACATCATGCTAAGTAAAGCAAGCCAGTCAAAGAAGACAAATGCAGAAAGCACATGCAGGAAGTACCCAGGGCAGTCAAACCCACAGACAGCAAGAAGGTTGCTTGAGACTGGGGGTGGGGGCGGTTAACGGGTACTGGCTTCAGTTTTACAAGATGAAAAAAAGTTTTGCAGATTAATTGCAAAATTACATATACATATTTTACCACAACTGAAATTTTAAATTATTTAAAAACAAAGCTGTTTGATAGTACATGCCTACTGCAAAATTTAAAGTATCATATCATTATATAATGTAGAAGTAAAAATTTACTTATTTTAGTACCCACAATAGCTCTGCTACACACTTTCATCTGGATTCCCCATGTATGACCAATGATTATTCCTAACAGGAGTTAGATACACTGTCCATAGCTTGTTTTCACTCAATGCACCTTGAGTAACTTTTGTATCATCCCACAGGGCCCTGTCTCATTCTTTCTATGTGGCTCAATCATACTCTAAGAATCTTCTCAACTTAAAAACTATAATAAGGCAAATAAATCAATGTAAGGGAGACAAAAGAAGACTACCTCACAGCTAGGAGACATTCAATCTGAAGTTACTTTTGGTTGGTGTGTCTACTGATTACACACACATATACAATCTACTGATTATACCGAAAGCAATGCTTTGGACTGAGTAACGCTCCTAATAATAATAAGCCACTTGCACGCTACAGAAAATGCGAATTGTATTTCGTTTCTCGCCAAGCCCACTTAACTACAAAATCAGTCTGCTGCTTTCATAGTTTTAAAAAGATCCTGTCTCTTATTAGCATTCACTGATGGCTGTGTAAAAGTAAAACCTACATCTCCTTAGGAATTATGTGTCAAAATGCCATCTTCTCAAAGTAGATTCAGAAAGATAACATTAAGGGGGATGTTGAGGGTAGGGAAAGTCACCTGATCCTGCACTTCTAACATGTCAGAACTCTCATTAATATTAATGCAATGCTATAACATTCCACAGATAAATGAAATGGCTCGGCTTCTTAACAAGATTTCAGCAATATGAAAAAAAGTCTGAGGAAACCACAGCACCATAGTTCTAAAATATGTAAATAAATTATTGGTTGCAATCCCTGTGAAAGAATGTAGTCTTAGTGGATAATTCAAGAGAGGGAAAATACATACATAATATATTACCGAGGAAACATCTGCGACTTACTTAAATTGAGACTGATAAAAGAAACCATTTTCACTATTCTTTAGGTGGTTAACAGTTTTTGGAGGGCCAGCAATGGTGGCAGAGGCCTAAAACCTCAGCACTTGGGAGCTAGGCAAGAGGATCAGGGGTTTGGGGCCATTGTCTGCTACACAAAGACTGAAGTCAAACTGGGTTGTAACTGAGACCACACTCAGATACCAGCTCTCTCTAGAAAAAGAAAGAGACGTCTTTAAAAATGGCACTTAAAACACGGCTGATGGGTTCTTACTGACGACCGACAGATCATCAGCCTAGGCTGAGAGCTCAGTGAAGTGGCAGGCACATTCAGCTGCAGATGTACGGAAACACTATTTAAATATCTTGTTGATAAATACTAAGGGGATGCTTTTTCTTTTAAATCACCAGCAGCAGCTCAGCAGCAGTGAGCTAAAGCACTGTCATTTGCACAGTGAACTGATGCTGCCAGTGAATAAAAAAATAAGATTCCTGAAGTCCACTCATGTTCAGTGTCTTATCTGGCAAGATCCATAAAGCCGTGTTTTTAAAGAACCAGAGACTACAGAAGAAACGGTAAAATGTTATTTTAAATTAAGTTTTGATGTACAAAGTTCACCTAGTGGCTAAAGCTGAGTATACTCAGACATCATTTTAAAACACCGTTGAGCACAAACAGTTCACCAAAAAGAAATACAAATACCAGGGTCTGCACTCCACGCTGCTGGGTTTAGCGCATAGTTGGACGTTTTGTATTTGGGTTTAAAGCACGGACAGGGGCATCTTACGCGAAGCACGTGAACGCTGCCACAGCGGCCGCACTGCCACCTGAGCTCCCTCCAGCTATCAGCCAATGGGAATCATCATGCTCATCATGTGGCCGCCTTTCTCTGTGTTGCTTTGAATAACTCCAGGGGTTTTTAACCGGTCCAAACACACCATCTGTGCTTCCAGATCTGAGATGGAGAGGCAAAGCAGTACCTTAGAAAAGCTTCATTTTATGTCCCCAGGGAAACTCACGGAGCTTTTCTTAACCCACTGTAGCTTGAGTTGGAAAAGGCGACACCACTCAGATGCAGCTCCCACTCAGGCCGCTAAGGAGCTGGCATGGGAAGCTGGCGGTGGAAATGAAGAAAATTACTAGCTAAGGGCAGACCCCTCCCAGCTATCATCCAAATCAGTTAACACGGACTTCTTTGTAGGTTATGGTCTACAAGAGCTAGTGCCAGGACAGGCTCCAAAACCACAGAGAAACCCTGTCTCGAAAAAAACCAAAAAAAAAAAAAAAAAAGATCTTTCAGTTGAAAGGATTCACAAACATTCAGACCATTAGGAAATCTTTCAAAGGACTCTCCCTCTTAATCAGAAGGTTCAAGAAAAGCATCAGGGATGGGGGTAGTTCACCCCTTCAGTCTTGGCACTGAGTTGGCCGAGGCAGGAAGGCATCTACGAATTCCAGGCAAGCCTGGGCTAGAGTGAAACCTGTCTCAAAAACCAAAACAACCCCTCTAAAACTAGGGATGAGGAGATGGTGCAGTGTGTAGGAGCACTTGTGCAAGCATGAGTCCTTAGTTGGAATTCCTAATACCCACATAAGACAACAGACACAGCCACAGGCCTGTCATCTCAGCATTTGGGGGAGGGTGGGCATAGACAGCAGCTCCCAAGCCGGCCTCAAGCTAGAGAGATCTGCCTGCCTCTGCCTCAGGCATGCACCAACACATTAACTACAGTCCTATATATTAACATAATAGCTCTTCCTCAGATTTATCTTTTGGAACATTTTCTTTTCATTTTGAAGTAGCATATTTCAAAAGTTCTTAATTTTATTCAAGACCAACCTACCAGTTTTTACTTTGTATTATTTGTGTCCTAGCAAAGAGATTTTTGCTAAGTAAAGGTCACAAATAATTTTAATAGGTTTTGCACATTGTATCATTTTGGCTTTTACATTCTTGAACTTCTCACTGTGGAACATTTTCATAGCATCTTTTTGTTTAATGAAAAAAAGTTTAACAGAGCGTTTCTTGATTTAGATTCACTACATACTTCCTTACTATTAGGTATAGGCTATGTTTTCCAGCTGACTCTCAAGGGTAATGGAGTGTCCTCAGACTCACACTGGGGACATACTAAATCTACCTTCTCCTCTTTGGCCATGTTAACTTTAATTGGCTGAGAAAAGAAAATATCCTAAAAATCCACATTCAGGTTTACTGCCGCGGATGAGCTCATTAAACATGTATCTACCAAGTACTAAGAGATGTCACAATTAACATGGTAGTCTAGGGCTCTGTTTCTAAAAACAGTAACTTTGACCAAACAAATATTATAAACGTAAAAAGAAATATAATGTGGAAAAGTCTAAAGTACTTTTGGTGAATGACTGAATATTTTCCTGCCCACTATCAGAAACAAGGCAAGACTACCCATTTTACATCTGTCCCCCTATTTTAATTATTTGTATATATGTTTATGTCTATGCACATGACTGCAGAATACCATGGAGGCCAGAAGTGGGTGTTGGATCGCCTGAAGCTGAGGTTACAGGTGTTTGTAAGTTACGCATCAGGTCATTACTGGGAGCTATACACTGGTCCTCTGCAAGAGCAGTAAGCACCCTTAACTCTCTACCTTCCCATTTTACACTTTTGCTTCAACACTGCACTGATGGTCTAAACTGGTTCAAAAAGGCAAAATGTAGATAAATAATAAGAGATAAAAAATAAAACTGTCTACACAAAATATTCCAAAGAATCATAAAGATCGATTAGAACTAACAAATGAACTTTAACAAGGTGATGGGCTAGGAGGTCAATATAGAAAAATCAATGATATTTTTATGCATTTGCTATAAATAATTAGAAATTAAAAAACTATAGCATAAAATAAGTCATGGACTAGAATGTGGCCCAGTGGCCTAAGCCACTTTTGTCGCCAAGCCTGACAACCTGTTCAGTCCCCAGTTATACATCTGGTGGGTGATGTGCCGTGTACTGTTGACACCATTGGGCGGCCTGCCCCTTTCTGAATGGAGACGAAGGAGGAGTGGATGGAGGAGAAGTGGGGGGGAGAACTTCAGTCAGAATGTAAACTAAATGAAAAAATTTAATTAGTAAGAAAACAGAAATCACATAAACTCTATAGAAGGTTTACATCAGAAAAGGTAAAAAATGTTGAGAGAAATGAGCAAAAATCTCAATTAGTACATACTCTTGGCATTTATGTATTAGAAGATATAGACAGAGGCCAGCTCAAAAGAAACTGTTAAAGCTTATGTGGAAAACAAACAGGGCTACAGTGCATTCAGTGACCTTAAAACATGACAGCAGTGTGAGCAGTGACTTCTAAAACAGGGCCGCAGTGTGTGCAGTGACTTCTAAAACAGGGCCGCAGTGTGTGCAGTGACTTCTAAAACAGGGCCGCAGTGTGCGCAGTGACATCTAAAACAGGGCTGCAGTGTGCGCAGTGACTTCTAAAACAGGGCTGCAGTGTGTGCAGTGACTTCTAAAACAGGGCCGCAGTGTGTGCAGTGACTTCTAAAACAGGGCCGCAGTGTGTGCAGTGACATCTAAAACAGGGCTGCAGTGTGCGCAGTGACTTCTAAAACAGGGCCGCAGTGTGTGCAGTGACTTCTAAAACAGGGCCGCAGTGTGTGCAGTGACTTCTAAAACAGGGCTGCAGTGCGCGCAGTGATTTTAAAAAGAACAAAGTGAGAAGATTCTTGCCACCACTGTCAAGACAGATCTTGACTCAAATTTACACGTGTGTGTTTGTAAAGAACAAGGACAAGCTTATCTCGTCTAAACAGCGGTGGGAGTAAAATGTCCATATGTAAAAAAGTGAATTACATTCACACTATATACAAAAAAACTTAAACAACATAGGTAACATATCTAAATGTAACAAAACTAGGAGAAAAACCTATCATTTTGGTCTGGATAAGGATTATGGAAGCATTAGTAGAGATCAACGTAAGAAGAAAAAGATGATCTGGACTTAATCAAAATTAAAAATTTCAACTCTTTGAAAAACACAGTATGTGGGTAACACTGATTATCAATGTGGTAGGACCTAGAATCAGCTAGGACACAGGTCCTGGGGCAAGGCGTCTCTAGCTGGGGTTAACAGAGGAACTGTGGGCAGCACATTTCTGAACCATCCCATGGGCCAGGCCCCTGACTAGTATAGAGTGCTGGCTGAGCAGGAGTCCTTGCCCTTGCTGCCTGACTGCACAGGTCATGTGATCTGAGCCTCAGGCTCCCGTTGCCATGTCTTTCCTGCCATAGACTCCCAAACGGTAGGCTGAAATAAGCCCTTTCCTTAGGGCGGTTTATCAGTTCTCTGTACTACAGCAAAGAGAAAAGTAACCAATACAGTCAGAAAGAAAAGATAAGCCAAAGACTTTGAGAACAGATTTGTAAACCCTTTGATAACAGACTTGGATCCAGAATACATGAAAGAACTCTTATAACTCAATAAATAAACCAGCTTACAAAAGATTTGGATCATACTTCACCAAAGATACACAAATGGCAAAATAAGCACACGAGAAGGCACTTAGTCATTATTTACCAGGGAACTACATTCTTAAAAATCCCAAACAATGTACCTACATCCTTGTTAGACAACAGATGAGCTTACCCAGGGACTATGACTCTGATGTCACAGTCCCCACGAACCGACTAGACACTTGGCTTGGCAGTTGAGGACTTGTGGAGCCGGTTCTCAGCACCACACAGGGAGGCTCTCAACTGCCTACACCTCCAGCTCAAGGGATGCAGTAGCCTCTTCCGGCCTCCACTGGCATCTTCATGTGCCATTTACTTACACAGACACACAAATAAACAAACACAACAAAAATAGACTTAAAAAAAAAAAGAATCCTTAAGAAGTGACCTTGCTACTTTTAGGTATCTAAGTGCAGTGAAATTAAAGGCATAGATGTTAAATAAAAAGAGAGGAAAACTTCATTTTACCTACCCCATAGCAAACTCATCTAAATTTGTTTTCCCCATGAGTAGAGCACCCTGATCCAACAACTTCTGAACTACCGTGGCATTGTAAGGTGGTATATAACCTGGAAAAATAATGTTTTTATTATATGAGAGAAAATAGCAAATAGGAAGCACAATTTTAGAATTTAATTAAGTAATTACTATCGGAGTATAAATTATTCTTAAACTAAATAGCAAACTGTACTTTCTTCTACAAGTTAATTTTTCTTCTGCTGACTGTCCATCCAAAGATACTCATTACATCATTCACTATTTTTCCAATCTGAAAACACTGAGTACTATAAAATGTTGGATGGTAAGATAGACCTAATTCATCTGACAATAATTCCTTATCATTATGCTCAAAAGCTCTTTTTCTTCTTCTTAGATAATGTTATGTCACACAGCAATTTATGAATTTTGGTTATAAAGGGGCCTGTGCACATAGGAGGCGGAGGCAAGAGGGTCTCTGTGATTTCAAGGCCAGTCCAGGTAACAGCAAACTCGGGCCGGCAGGGCTACATGGTGAGACCTTGTCCCAACAACAACAGCAACGACAACAACAGCACCCCACCCACAGACTGGAAAAAAAAAAAAAACACAACCACAGATTAAAAAAAAAAAAACACAACCAAAAATCCCTCTAGCTTATATTCCAAACCACACTCTAGCCCACATAATGAAGAGGACTCATTTGTACTTTTAGTGGAAGCATTCTGAGTACCTTTTCTTTTTTCACTTATCTTTCCTACTAGGAGCCATATATTTTGATAAAACATTCTTGTTTTCAAACTGACAGATTAAAGAATAAAACTAGGGATTACTACACAGCTCCAAGAGAACTGGTGAGCAAGTACTGAGGAATTAATTCTCAGTGTCCACAGGAGTAATACCAGCCAGTACCAAGTCCTCCCGAAAGGGTCCTAAATTTCATAAGCATTATTCATTCATAATGCTGGCCAACACCTAAGTTAATTCTGCACACAGTGAAGGGGCAATATTCTACCCTAATTCCCACAGAGCTGTAATTTATCTCAGGTTATCTTGAAGCTTCAGTATTTTATCTTTAAGCTGAAAAACACTCATTTTTATGAAAGTACTGATGTTGTAATCATTAAACTTTACCTTTTAGCATGTTTGATGCACATGTTGTCTCAATGCCAGCTGTGCTGAAGTTGTCTTTTACGGCAACGGGAATTCCATCTAAATCTCCAAGTGACTGACCTGCATTCAAAAGCCACAAAGGGGGTTGGTGGTGGAAAGATGGCTCAGTAGGTAAGAGTCCGTGTTCACATGAGGCTGAGTTCTGATCCCAGTACCCACACCAAAGCTGCGGACGGCTACAAGGCTTACTTTTATTTATTTATTTATTTATTTATTTATTTATTTATTTTTTTCAAAGACAGGGTTTCTCTGTGTAACAGCCCTGGCTATTTGGCTATCCAGGAACTCTCTTTGTAGACCAGGTTGGCCTTGAGCTTACAGAGATCCACCTGCTTCTGCCTTTACGTGTGGGAATAAAGGTGTGCTCGACCACTGCCTGGCATGTGTCTTATTCTTATGCCGGCCTGTAACCCCAGTGTTGTGAGGGGTGAAGACAGGATGTCACTCTGGCTTGCTGACCTCCAGCCTATCTTCAGGTTCAGCAGAAGACTTGAGGGAATAAAGTGGAGAGTGACAGACATGGGTACCTTCCCCCCACCCTACAGAGAACCCCAGAAGAACCAAACTCCAGAAATCAAGTTTACACTGGAAATTATTATAGAGAGGCACAATACAGCATTTACATTAAATACTCAGGACAAGTTCTTTAAACAAGGGATTGTATCAAGTTTAAAGTTTTACTTACTGAAAGACATTGCTACACCCAGTTAAACTGTTCCTCTTGAGAGAGCAATGAAATAGAACTGAACACAATTTACACCGACCTTGTTTGTATCTTCTCTCTGATTCTTCAGCTTGTTTTAAGGCTACCTCTTCTGATACAGTAATGTAGGCATTTAAATACTTGGTTTTCTTGATGAGGGAGAGACATTTCTTGCAGAGCTCTGTTGGTGTAACTTGGCCCTGTTTCAGTGCTGCAGAAACCTACAGTAGAGACAATTATCTCTTTACAGACTATACAAGTCCAAATCCTGAACTGAGGGAGCCATAAACAATACAGGGTGGAAACAAACTGCACAAGCGAGGCTTGCCTCAGAACCAGAGAAGCTATGTTTGAGCAGGGCGGTGAGCAAAGAGCAGTACTCACCAGCTGGACGATGGGAATGGTGGGGAGCAATCTTCCCCTTAGTGGACTAATTTTGTTTCTAAGTTAGACTTAGGAAAACAACAATAGTTTAGGCGCGCCATGTAGGCTTCAGGCAGTTGAGCCCAGCCTGGGTAGAGGACGGGTAGGGGAGAACAGGTTCAGGAGTAGCTTACTGTAACCATAGAAGTATACAGTGAAAAAAGAGAAGCACTTTATGGCACTGAAAAAGATCTTTATATTTACTGAGGACTTCAGATAAGACACACTAGGTGTTCAAAAAAAATGCAGAGACATATGATATACATCCACACATATATCTTCTATAAACTCAGGGTTTCTTTTTTTTTGTGCATTAAGAAGGCTGGTGGACAAAGGGTTAAAATAAAATGCATGAGAAGCAGGGCTGCAGGGATGACTCAGCGGTTAAAAGCTCATACTGCTTTTGCAGAAGACTCAAGTTTGGTTGCCAACATCCATCTCAGATGGCTCAAGACCAACTGTCACTCCAGGTCTGGGGAAGCCAACTCCTTTGTCCTTCCAAGCACCTGCACACATGCACACATGCGCGCTCGCACACACTCTCATGCACACGCATACACACACACACACACACCACCAACAACTACAATAAAAATATATTCTTTATGCAGAGAAGTGACCAGCACCTACTGTTTAGCGGTGAGACCTGAGATGCAGTGTGATTATTTGCCGCGTCCTGAATAAGAATAGGTACTTGCTGATTAGACAAGGACAGTTAACAAGAAGTCAAAGATGCTACCAGGCTTTCTTTGGAGATAATATGCAAAGATAGCTCCGTTGTTCACCTGTTATGTGAGTTCAGGGACAAGAGGGTCTGGAAGGGAGTAATTCTTTTTTTTTTTTTTTTTTTTTTTTTTAATATTTTTATGGTTTATTTAACTTATTTGATGTGCATTGGTGTGAAGTGTCAGATCCCCTGGAACTGATCTTCAGAGAGTTGTGAGCTGCCATGTGGGTGCTGGGAATTGAACCCGGGTCCTCTGGAAGAGCAGTCAGTGCTCTTAACCACTGAGCCATCTCTCCAGCCCCTGGAAGGGAGTAATTCTTGATGAGTGTTTTTACCAAGAGCCAGGCACTGTTGGTTTACCAGTCTCATCGATTCATTAGCAAGTGAGGCATTATTAACGGTCTTGGACAAATGAAGAAACTGAACCTCTGAAGCTGTCATTTGCCCAAAGCCACACAAGAGATTGTTGTTAAACCTCCATATATTAGGAATATTGCTTAAGATGAGCCTCTCCACCAATCAGACCAAATTAAAGATGTCCACGTTTAATGCAGTGCTTCCAGGTGGCCCTAGAAAGCATGGCGAGGGGAAGGGGGCAGGGAAGACCCAGTGAAACCTGGAGACTATGGGTTCCTTTTCTGGGCAGCAGCCTAAATAGCCTGTGGGAGTGGTCCTGACTCTCCCTGGGGAGGGGTCAGTGCTTGGGGGACTTTCCTGGAGGTGGAGTCTGGACCAAGGCAACTCCCAGGGGGAGGGGACTTGAAATGGAGCTTCCTGCTCCACTGGCACTCTAAGAATGGGTGCCAGGAGCAGGAGTGACATTTTCACTCAAACATCCCAGACTTCTTGGATATAGGGGTGTCAGAGGGCTGGGGTCTCACTTTTGACCAAACATCTATGGTATGTAATATTTTTTTTATTGATAAGATTAATTAGAATAACACTTCAACAGTACAGGAAAGGGTGACAGTATACTCTCCTTACCACTTCAACATCTACTCTCACGGAAAAGAGTCTGTTCTCCATGTTGACTGTATTCTTATGTCTTAAATGTAAGCAACAGGAGTTTGCACTTATGGGAAGGGTCTGCAAACGATCTGCTTTTGGCTACATATCATCAAAGCAATGGCATTCTTAGGGCTGAGCGCTGTGGAAAAACTATGGGGAAAAGGTTTAGAAGTCCCTGATGCTCATGGACAAGCACAAGACCCTTTACAAAGGAGGCTACGGGACTAGTCCTGGGATGGGTTGGGCAGCTAGGCATACCTTAAGGAAGAAACTAAGTGATAAGAGGTCTGTTGCACTGTTTAAATTAAATATAATGCTTCAGAAGGAAGGAGCTGGAGAGTAGTGAAAGATGACAGTTTGTTCTAATACTATGGAGAATGGGAGGAGAGAGGACAGTGAACACCTAGGACAAGCAGACACTCAAACCCAGAGACAGACAAGTACAGGCAGGCTTCTCCCAAGGTAAAGCTATACCAGTGAGGACTTGTGCCTTTCTGCTCCCTTGGTTAGCCTTCTAAGACATTAAGCTGCTTTCTGAGTTAACAGTTGGTATGAGAATAAATGTAGGCACCACAATCAGTCAGAAAGGGCGGGTGTCTAGGTGCACTGACTTGCAGGAGTGCTGCTTTTCATTTCGGCCATTTTTAGGGACTCCTAATTTGAGAAAATCAGCAAAGAAAATTGGAAAAGAGAAGTGAGACCAAAGATGCTAATTAGACAGAATGGGCTGAGTGTAAAGTATAATATGCAAATTAGACAGCTCTCCTGGGACAAAAGTGTGGCACTACATCTAAATATAAAACAACGTTAACTTAAAACACTGTCACTAAAAGTATCCTCTCCTGAAACTTCTTTGCTAATGGCCAGTGGGCTTCCCATCTTTGCTCCTACTATCTTGTATTAGAGAGTCTACTGGGAGGAAGGGGTAGGCACATGTTCTCTTGGTCCTCCATGGCTCTATCCCATTCTCTCAAAAACCTCAGGCCATCTGAAGCCCGCGTCTCTCTTGTGTTGATCCACAGTCTGGCTGGCACCACCTATCACTTCTGGCAGTTTTAGTGCTGACATCACTGTCATCTTCGTTGCTACTACTGGTTCACCTCCAACTTCAAGTTCACAGCTGGGTTTGATGGCTCATGTCTGTAATCCTAGCATTTGGGAGGGAGAAGCAAGAGGGTTAGAAATTTAAGGTTAGCTTCAACTAGGTAGTAAGTATGGAACCAGCCTGGGATAGAGGAGAGCCTGTCTCAAAAACAAAGCAAACAAAACCAACCAAACCAAAACAAACAAACAAATGCAGTGGGAGCTCCTTCAGCCAATAGCCTTTAAGATACCGGCCCACTTGGGCGTGGTCTCTTATACTATAAATGTAGTTGTAAAGCCTGCACTCACTCTCTTGCTTCTGGCTCTCACTTCTGGCTGCTAGACTCTGTTCCTGTTTCCCATTCGTGCAGAGGACTGTGATCTAGGACAGTGATCTGTGAGTCTCCACTAAATAAATAACATAATTTTGAACTAGTGTGGGATATTTTGTATCTTCCGCCATCATCTGACACCCAAACATGGGGACCAGTCCACACTTTTTGGAATCTGTCTGCCAGCTGCATGGTGCGTTGGGCACTGACTCTCTTGCCTACTACTTTAGCCAGCCCTTAGACACAGCAGGCTGTTGCCTGGTGCTTCCCAGTTCACAACCCACATGCCAGTCCACACACTGCTGCCTGCGATCCCCACGGTGCACACAGTCTGCAATTTGTACTGATAGAAAAATTTAAGTTTTCTCTTTATCCTGGGCCCCAACTCTCAAAGTCATTTGATCACTTTATTAACTGTTCTTAATTTGTTAAACAAAGCATTTTTTCAGTACCTAGGTAAGCAACACATGCTGTTCACTACTGCTAGCGGCTCTTGGCCACATTGTTGCAACTGTGACACCTGCTGGCCGATAACAATCATTACACCTACTCTAAGTCATTGTAATTACTTTATGACAGGTAGGATCTGAAAAACTACAAAAAATGACTGATAACATCCAGAAGTTCAATAATTATTTTGCTTATATTATGGAAGGTATTGTGTAAAACTTACACTATTTTCCTTCCTATTATTTGATTCTAGGAATTAGCTTTGTTTTCGATATTATCTCACTAAAAATAGTACAATACTACAGAGAGGGATAGCATCAATTTGAATCTAACTGTCAGAATCTGTTGAAAAGTTATTATATGTCCAAGGATGAGACATTATCTTTACTGAACAAGTTGGAATCCTCAGTGAGGACATTAAAACAGAACACTGGACAGGAGATTCAGACATTAAAAAAAAGCAGTAGTAAAAAGATTTGAAAAGACTGAGGAATTTATTGAAATTGATGAGCAGGGACAGAGGTGCAAGGACAGGATTTAGCCTCATCAGTATGTGCCAGACCTCTGGATGACTTACACAGAGTTTCAACTGCATATCCAGTAATTTACATAGAAAGATCACCTGACACAAAGTACCCCAAGGTAGTCAAAGACTATGCATGGGAACCATTACGTATGAGTGATCTAAAAGAAATAAAAACAAGCAATAGTTACTTATGAGCTACAATCACCATTTGTCAGGGAAATGGTGAAAATGTGGGCTTCAAGCACTAAGGCCACTCCACACATTTGGCTTCAATTAATCTCAGCAGTCCTAGATATGGACCTCAGCTGTTTTGGAAGTGTCACTGGACAGAAGATGCAAAAATTTTAGAGCAAGAGGGGAAAGCAAAAGGATTTGAGACTTCCCAAGATGTAGAAAAAAGGTACGGGCAGGCCTGCTTTTTGTCCTGCCCAGCTCCTGCATGGCTAGCTTTATACCCGAAATAACAACACACAAACTGTATTCATATAAACACTGCCTGGCCCATTATATCTAGCCTCTTTTTGGCTAACTCTCATATCTTGCTTAACCCATTTCTAATAATCTGTCAATCACCACGAGATGGTGTCTTACCAGGAAAGATTCAGCATGTCTGACCTGGCAGCTGGCTCCATCGTGTCTGCCCTGGAGAGGAGAAGCATGGCGTCTGGCTGA